TTCAGCCTTGCATGTTCAACTTGCTTCACCGATTGGGTTGCTGATTCGGCATTCTACTTTTATCGAAGATGACTTGGCAAATTCTGGAATTTTAGGTGCAGTTACTGATGGTCTTAGAGACAGGCAGGAAAAAGCGAGAAGATTTTCTATGGCTGCTTTAGGTGAATTACTGTTCTATATTTCCACTCAAAACGAACATGCAGGAGATAATAATCCACCTGAATCTCCATCAAAAGACAATAGGCATGCATCTGGCTGGCAGGTCTGTTTCATAACCCGTTGCTCTAACTTTGTAGTTTGTATACCAGATAACTGGAGTCTGGATTTTCTATAATGTCGCTTCTAATTTTTCCATGCTTCAAACAAGTTAGAAACTGCCAAAATATAATTTTACTAGAAAGTTATGAAGTTTTGAATCAGATGCTTTAAGAGAACAGTTGCTTGTGCAATACCCTTATGCCTGTTATGTTTTCTTTCCCTGCTGCTTTTCATTTATTGTTAATTATTTGTAAGGAGTTTCTTCCCTTGTGGACAGATTCCAAATTCATCGATTTCATTGGTGTCATCAGATTTACGTAAAGGAGAGGATGATATGACTCAACTTTACGCACTTAGGACAATTGAAAACATTTGCAGTCAAGGAGGACAATAGGCAGCTGGTTTCACCAGCCAGGATGTGATTAGTAACATGTGTTACATTTATAGGGCTGCAGGGAAGCAGGAGAGCATGAGGCTTACTGCAGGATCTTGTTTGGTTCGTCTTGTTCGTTTCAGTCCCCATAGCATTCAATCAGTTATAGATAAACTTTTGCTTAAGGATATCGCATCTGCTCTTGTCAAGGGCAGTCTGCGTGAGCAGCAATTCAGCTTAAATCTTCTCAATATGGCTATGCTTGGAAGCCATATGTTCTCAAATGGATGGTACCTTCTACCATTGATGGAGGAGAAGAATCTGGTGCCTAGTCTTGTGTCTCTTATTGAACAAGGAAGTGAAGTTTTGTGTGGCAGAGCAGTTGTTGTTGTGGCTTTTCTTAGTAAGAACAGTAAGAGGTGGTTACCACAATTCTTTTGCAATGCTAGGTTACTCCTCACAGTCTACAGATTGGCAAAGGAGAAGGATATCTATCTATTGCAGTGTCTAGATTCATTTCTTCATGTTGTGGCATCCACAGTGCCCAGATTACTGGATGGTATAACTGGAGATATTCAGCAAATGATGGGAGAAAGGAGACATGGGCAGATTGCTGCCCTTACCAGTCGTGCTGCTCCAAAGAACAATATTCCTTTGTTCCCTGTCATTCTTTATCTTCTTGGGAGCTCATCATTTAAAAGCAGAGTGGAGACTCATCAGGTCTTGCAGCAGTTGGCAAATCTTATCCAAGTTACGGAGACACCATTTCAAGTAAGTAATTGTATCTAAGCCATCCTTTGTTGTCATATTTGTAGCATATCTTCATTTTTCTTTGCAAATTCAAGATACAGTTTCTGACAGCAACTAGAAAGTATCTATACTGTTAGGATATATCTCCAAGTTGACTTTCTAAATATGTTGAGACTTTGAATGACATGTCGCTTCGATGCCTATGTGCCTCGTCTTGGCCAACATGAGGGAGAAAAAAAAAAAGAAAGGTGATAGACTGGAAAAATGTCTGGTTCAAGTAGTAATCATGCCCATACTTCAAACCTCGTGTTAAATTTTTTCTAAGATAGGCCTCTAAAATAGTACGTAATTGATACATTCTAATAGAAGTTTCTAAAATCTGTTTCAACTGTGAGCTTTATATATATGTGTGTGTGTGTATTGCTGCAACTTCTTGGGCCAATAATTCACTTCTTACCATTTAGAGGTGGATAGAGTGGGTTCTTTGCTCTCTTATGCAAAAAATATTAATAAATAGGATAAATAATCATCACAAAACTGATATAGGCTAATAATCTTCACAAAACTGATATAGGCTATCTTTTTCATTGACCAGGGACGGGATGACTTCCAAATAACATTGTTACGGGTTATGGAATCTATATCTGAGGAGCCTCCAGTAATTCTTGGCAGTCCTAATATTTTTATCAGTGAAATTCTCCCTAGTCTTGCTGTTCTTTACAAGGGCAACAAAGATGGCAATGCGAGATTTTTGTGCCTGAAAATTATGTTTGATGTGATGGTCAATTTCTTGAATGAACCTTCATTAAACAATCAAAGGTCAGAATCTGAAATTCATATCTAACTCTCATTTTCTTCCTCTCTACCCCACCTTGATTGAAGATGAAGATCCCATTCCCATGCATGCGCAGAAGCTTCTACTGATGCTAATTGAGTTTGAGTATATTAAAATCCCTGATATTTTAGATCTGAAAATGGTCTCAAAATGTTTTAAATTTTTGCTTGGCGATCTGACAAATGCAAATGTAAACAATGTCAAACTGTGTCTGGCTTTGGCTTATGCTCCAGAGATGGATTCTAAGTTACTTTCGCAGCTAAAAATAGTAAGGAAGATTGGGAATCTTTTGGAGTTTGTATACGCAAAGGATATGGAAGATTTTCTCGAACCAACTCTTGGCTTGCGTAGGACTTTCCTTCTGCACTCTGTAGGGAGTAGAAAAGGTTTTGTTTATACAAAAGAACCTACACTTTTAGGTGATTGTTTATCTGACTTTCATTTTTGCATGTTTTCTTTCATAGATTAATAGATTCTCAGATTTACTTACGTTTTACAGGCATTTTGGGAGTAACTGATTTTACGAAAGGACATGAACAACCTGTTTATGGAGTTCTGGACTAGGGTGGTCAAAATGATCCATGTTTGAGGTCAGTTATGTCTTATTCAGCCATGCTCTTGGCCTGTAACTGTATAATCCATGCATGCTTCATGCCATCATTAATATTTTATTTAATTTATTTTACAAATAAAAAAATAAAATTTTAAAATACAATTTAACTTAATGTATTTTATCATTCGATTAATTAAAAAAGTTAATTAAATTGATTGAATTAATTTTAATCAGTTAATTTTTAAAATTAAAAAATTTGATTTAGTTAATAAAAATAAAATAACATAATTCGATTAATTTAATTTTGAGTAATTTAATTTGAAATTAAAAGAATTGATCGAATTAACACTTGGCTCAATTTTAAACATTATTTATTAATAAAATTTTTTTATTTAATTTTAACTTTAATAGATAATTAAAAATATACTATAAAATTATTAATAGTATTTTTAATATAATCGGGTCAAAAATGGGCCGGTTGGGACAAGGACCACTTAATATAATCGAGTCAAATTAACAGTTTCTTCAGATTTCAGATTCGAAACCTTGTTAGTAGAATAGTTTACATTACTGTTGTTTTATTTATGAACGGTGATTAACTACCAGAGGGTTTGGACTTTTGAGTGCTGCTGTTCAAGCGTACTTCTACAATCACTTAAATTAAGATTGCATGACATACTCATAGTCTCATACATTACAAAATTAATTTTAACAACTTCCCCTCTTATTTTGGTACTTAGTATGTTACATTTTCTTGTTGAAAATTAATACACTTATTTAGAATCCATAATTTCCACCGGCTGTGATATCTACTTTGATTCCTGCAATTATATGTTAGTTTTTGCAATGAAAAAACTTGAATGATAGAATAATTTGTTATTCCCATTAATAAGATCCACTTATTCTTGTTAAGAATTATAAAGTAGATTTGTCTATGGACTGAATGGCTAGTTCGGTTTGACTTCACCCAAATTGGATTTTGAAACAAGAAATTTAAAGCTTGACTTGGATCGTGAAATTATTTTATTTAAATTTAAATTAAATTTAAAAAATTAATATAAAATATTTAAAAGCAATATTTTAATAATAAATTTAAATTAAATAAATATAAATAAACAAATTAAATCTAACCTTAACAAAAATAAGCAAACTTAGGTAATTATTATTATTTATTATTATTATTATTATTATTTGGCAGGGGTTGAAGGGTCGTTAGAAATTAAAAGTTCTCTTCGATCAATTTGGTGAATGACAGTTTGTTTCAGCTGCTTTGAGCACCAAAACTTTAGTTTGGTTCCAAAGTCTATTAGTTACGTTAAAAGTGGAAAACCAAAACTCTCGTGTACACAAGGATTGTTTGCTCTTTGATCATGTTTCAGCTGTTGTCTTTTCTTCGGGAAATCCCGTCATTTCCCGGAACCTCGACTTTTTCTGTCCAAACAAAACAACTGGTTTTTATTTCTTTTTACATCTTTCTTAGTCTTTCCTCAAAGTAAATATTGTAAAAGCCATTCTTTTTTATTTCTTTTTATATCTTATGGGTTAAAATAATTAAAATTTTTAAAATTTTATCCCTTTATTTAAATAAATTTTTATATTATTATATATTTAAATAAATTCTTAATCTTTATTTTGCATGAAAATAAATTTTTAATTTTTAATTTATATTTAAATAAATTATTAATTATTAATTTGTATTTGAATAATTTTTTAATATAAATTATTTTTTTGAAATAAAAATTTATTTGAATATAAATAAAAAAAATGTAATAAAAATATATGAACTTAGTTTTAATTAAAAAAATAATTCATAAAATTTTTTAATATTTTAGCCGATTGAATTTTCAGGTTTTGGTTTACACTCCATCAAGTAACAAATTAAATACAGTAAATTGAGTTGAGATTGATTCAAAGTAGGGATTTGCCAAATTCACGGGCTTGTAGAGGAATCATCAACTAACAAACATGTCACAACAAAAATTCACTGCTTTTTTTTCTTTTTTTTCTACATTTCCAACCTGTATTTTCCCATCACAGGCCTATTATGATTTGCCATGTCGCAGTTGGTCCCACTGAGATCCCCCTGGTCATACCTTTTTGAAGGACTCCATGATCACTCCTCAGTCCCTACCTAAAGGCTCACCCTCTTTTTCCACTTTCCTTTTCCTTTTTTTGTTTTTTTTCACTAGGAAGGGTTGATCATTACCTGATATATATACAACTATATTTTACACTCTCCACTAAGTGTGACATTGATTTCTTCATCATTAGAATGGCCTCCTATTGGTTTCTCTTATTGCTACTCATCATGTCTTTCATGGCCTCACCTTTACCATCCCTAACTTCTTCTCAAATAAGTTCAGATACCCCTACTATTTCAGCTTCACCAGTGTCTATGTCAAACCCTCCGCTGTCTCCTTTCCAAGAATTGTCACCAGATATTGTTCCCTTGTTGCCCTCTCCTGGTGAAGTTGTGCCCACAACTGGCTCATCCATGCCCACCATTCCTTCCACCCCAAGTCCTCCAAACCCCGATGACTTGATGGCGGCAGGTCCCGGTTCTGCATTTTCACCATTCGGATCATTATCAGCTTCCTCCACATCTCCTAGAATTTCAGTTCGGTCTTTCCACTTAGCAGCTTTTTCGGTTGTGGCAGCATATTGCTTAATGCAGCTTGTTAGAGTACTGTAAGTTAATTTGTTGGTTAGAAAATCTTTGCTCATCTGCTTCATTTTTTTTCACCTGTCATAGTACATGATTATAATGTATCTAGCTAGTTACTCCTAATACAGTTGTTTGCTTTTGCAGCTCCTTTAAGTATTAATTGAAATAAACATGGATTGTTGCCCATACGAACATAGAAAACTTTGAACCACTTTTAATTGCATAAGTCAATAAGTTGCATTTAATGTAATTTTTTGTAAACTGGACATTTTATTTTAGACATAAAATTTGAGATAGATAAAGTTGTATTTTTTTTAAAAAAAGAGAAACTGCAGCCTGGATATAAAGAAAAAAAATTACAAATGTTAAAATTTAAATTTGATACAGTTAAATGTCATATCTTAAGTGTGTTACATGAATCGACTGAATTAAAATTCGATTCAAAATCATATATTCTTTGTAATTGAAGTTTTCATGGCTTTTAGATCCTTAAGGACTTAGGATTTCCTTGCTGCAAATTGCTGGTGAACAATAAGGCGGCACATGGTTTTGTGTGCCCGCAACTCTGTTTGGCACGTGAGACACACCAAAGGACCAGAAATTCGGTGTTCCTTTTATTGAAGAATCCATCACGGTGGTTGATCATGCTTAATATAACACTGGTGTTTAGGTGAACCTGTTTTGTCTGATTCTGCCATCTTCCATAAGAGGGTCTTCTTCTATCTTTTTATTTTTCTCCCTTTCTACTTTTGGAGTCCATGCCGGCCTAAGAACACCTTTTGTTTTTTGTTTTTTTTTTTTTTGTTTTTTTTACACGTAAAGAAGCTTTACTAGGTCATGATCCAACATAATTACAAGATTGTCGTTTCTTTTTTCAATTATTTTGAAATATAATTTGTCATGTTGGGAGGTAAATTAGAATTGAAATCCAACCCAGCATGAAAACAAGAAAGGGTGTAGCACTACAGATAGCCTATTTATACCTTTCAGTCAAGTCAAGTTCGAGTTTTGGGTCTAGGTTTTTCTAGGATTGCCTAGTCGGATTAGGGTTATCTGGATATTCAAAATGTTCCCCAGATGAAGAATAATGCTTATTAGATATTCAAACCTATGGACTATCATAATAATAATATTTTTATTTGTATCCTTTGAAAACCTTTAACCAACCAACTCCCCATTTCTATCTGGAAAAAAAGTCCATAGGAATAGATTTTTCAATGTGGAAACATGCACTTGGCCTGGCACATAATGCATCTATTATAAACATAATAAAACAACAGCTCAAGAACAACAGGAAATGAGACAGTCGAGTTCTACGTAACCGGTAACGACCAAGATGACAACATAGGAGAGGTAAAACAAGGGGATTTTAAGGATTTGTCACAGACTGTTTGCAACAAAATTTTATGCACCTTTCTTCTCCAATAGCTTCTCAATCAGATCAGCTGCATCCTGAACTGTGGAAATACTCTGGGCACTTTCTTCTTCCAAAGTGATTCCAAACTCCTCCTCGAGTCCCATCACAATCTCGACCTGAATCACGAGAATTTGGCAGTATTCGATTTTAATATTTTTATTTGAATTATATGAACATAATTGACCCACCCCATTCATAAAAGCAGAATAAACAACAGATCAGCTCATAGTCAAATTGTGATTTTTTAATAATACAATAACATAACAAGAAGATTTTGACACAAACATCCAAACTTAAAATAATACATTAATCACAAGTGTTAAAGCATAAAGGTTAAGAATTAGAGGCAAAAAACTGATTATTACTACATCAAAATGAAATAGGATAGATATTTGGTTACCGTGTCGAGAGAATCAGCTCCGAGTGCAGCAAACTGTGACTCTCCAGTGACAGATGAATCAGCAGGTAGTGCCAGTTGCTTCCTCACTATTTTACAAACTTTGTCTACTGTCTCTGGTTTGGCCTGATTTTATGATGATCCCCGTAGCTGGTTAAGCACATTGATTATGATGGAGAAATGCATGTAAAGGCTTCATATCACCACCAATGATAAAAGGACTATACCCCATCATTGTAATGTGATTGACAAATGCAGAATATACTTAGATATGTTGCAATCCATGGCATACATATGCATTATAAACAGGATCTCTTCAAATTGATAAATGTTCCTAGACACAACTTTGGCTTGGGGAATATTTGGAGACCCACATCCAACCTACCAGGTATTGTCTACTTTCATCCGAAGGCCTCCATGATTTTGCTCAAAAAAAAAAAAAAAAAAACCTCACAAGCATCGGGTTTAAATCTCTACATATATATCATAGGATTTACACAAAAAGCCATAGTTAAGGTTTATTTCATCTGTATGATTACATATATATTGTAATATCTTAATATTAGATGGTCCCAATGATAGGTTAGTAGGCTATATTGTTTGGCACTAAATGAAACAGCATAGCTAAATGAATAAGTTGATGGATGCAGATCCACAAATTCAAGCAAAAAAACGGAGCAGACGAAAAGAAAAGCATACTGCACAGGAAATGCGAATACGAAATGATCCTGGTCGCATTGTAAGAGATGGGAAGCTAACTGAGTTGACATTAGAGACCCCAAGAAAAGGTACCTGCTCAAACACAATTGAATCACCAACTGAAACCTCTATCAAAAGCAGAACATCTAGACAAAACTAGGAAGTCATATGATACAAGGGGGACAGAACATGGAAACAAAGGTAGTTGCATGTTTGACTGGGAATCACATTTTACCACGTTCACAATCACTTAAAAAACATTGTAGTATTTGTTAGATCTCAAATTCAACCTAAACAAAACCAAAGACAAGATCTTGAATACTCATCCCATATCATGAAATGATGAAAGATGAAACTTTACTGTTTCAAATCTCAAGAAGCCTTTAAAGTCTATAACTTTCGTAGAAAGTTGATGCAACAAATGATCAAACATTGCATCTTTCAGCTATTTACATGATTGCATTCTTAAAATATTTAAATTTCAGCATCAAATCCAAAAACCCATCAAGGAAAAACACTTAAAAAAGGAATTTAAAACAACCCAAAAATGAAACAGAACACCAACATCAACATTTTTAACCAAACCCAACTCAATAACCATAGAAAAAGGTCAAAATATAAAGACAAGAATCAGAAAAAAAAAAAAACATGAAGAAAAAAAATGATCAACATGGCAAGTAACCTGGGTCGGCTTGAAAGAACTTGAAAGAGGAGTGAGCTTCAATGAAACTCCAGTTAAAGAAGCCATTGGAATGGGTTTCGATGGATTCAAGGAAGAGAGAAACAGAAAGCAGAGGCGGAGATCACAAAGACAGAAAGAGAACAAGCTGAGGGTGTTAAAGTTTAAAAGAGTTGGATTACGATCTTTTATAGATGCCTTGTCGTTTGCTTTTAGTTTAAAAGAGTAGCTGAGATTTGCTGGCAACTCCCACTTCCCCTTTCAATAAAAAGACGGGTAAAGTGCATTCATGGTTGGATCAATTTGTATGTTATTATCATTATTTATATTCGTGAAATTTATAATTAATGATTCCACTTTTATATATTACCAGAAAGATCCCTGAGCTTTGAGCTTTGCCCCGAGCCTATAATTAATATTTGATTAAATTAATTAGTAAATATGTGAGAATATTTAAAATGATAATGAAATAAAATAAAGTATTAAATAATTAAAATGATATGAAATTTATATTAGTAATTAATTGTTATTTCTCTAATAACTCAAACAATAATTTCAACGAATTTCTTGTAAAAATAATAATGCTTGTGATCATCAACAATACTTAAATTCTAATTCTCACCATTCAAGAAACAAAAAAAAAAAATCAAATGAAATGGACGAAGAAAATAAGATTCTCAAGTCGTAGGATACTTAAAAAATAAGCCAAAGTCATTATTAAAAATATTGCACAACATATGACACCTAAAAATTATTACAAAGGAGTTATAACAACACATGTAAAAAGCAATGACACCTAAACGTATGCCAAAGTAGGCCCTGCCTTCTAGTTTAAACCAGCCAATGATAAAACTTCCTTATTGGGCACACCATATGCAGGTGGAACTAGTGATGGCAACGAGTCGTGACGAAGTGAGTTTTTACTCGTTTTGAATTTGATTTGATTTTAAATATATAAAATTTGTATTCATATCCGATTTGATATTATATAAAATTGAATTTAATTCGATCTGACTCGAAATTAATAAAATATTATTTTTAATATAAATATAAAATTAAATATATAAAAATATAAAAAATTAAATATAAAATTAAATAAATAATTAAAAAAAATTTTTTTTTATATATATCGGGTCGGATAGGGTCAGGTTTACCTAAAACCCGAGCCCAACCTGAACCCAAAATTTTTTTGTGCCACCCAACCTTATTCGACCTGATATCCGATTTTCAAAAAAAAAAAAAATCGACCCTAAGAGGTCTGGTCAGGTAAGGTCGAAACCCGTCGGTTTCGGATATTTTTACCTTCTTTAGGTGGAACCATAATATTAAACTGAAAGTTTTGTCAATTATATGACCCTAGTGGCACAAAAGAAAATATAAGTCCCAAGTTAGCTAGTTTTCTAACTATATTCAACATGTTTGAACATGAGATACGCCTATAACTAACAATATTCCATGACAATATTAGTTTGATTGGCTCTGATGATGAAAAAAGTAAATAAAAGTATGTTAATTTTCATTGAACGATACCACAAAAGAAAATCACTAGTTAAAAAGAAGCAAACTTCTTATTTTTCTCGACGAACTTACTTAACCCACAAATAGGAAAAATTAAATACGTACACAAAAATTTCAATATTCTCATGATATTAAGATTTCTTTTCTGCAGAAGTGTGAACAAAATCATGAATGCCAACTTGAACACAAGCCAAATACTGCAGATTCACATCACATTTAGGATGCTAAAATCTGAAGCTAGAAAACACAAGCATGTACATAAGCAAACCCTGTATTATTTCCTTAGATCGGCATCCCTATATAAAAAAGAAAAGAAAAGAAAAGAATGAACTTAAATTTTCTTTGACAACTTCCCAATATCTAATTAGTCATAATTCACATAAAATACTTCTTTTTTCCATCATTAACAACTTGATCTTTGACAATAAGTCAAAGCATAACAATTTTCCAATGGCAAAGTTTAAAAATGCAAAATAATATAAAGATTAAAGTATTTGGACCCAGAAACTTTTCAAGACAAACAATCGTTCAAAAAAAAAAAAAGAAGGAAAAGCAAAAGAGAATGATGAGAAGGATGGAGAGGCAGCGTAAGAGAGAGGGAGAGAGAGAGAGAGGGAGAGGCAAGCTGGCTGTAAATATTGTTTTAACATGGTTTTGTGAAAGTGATTACCAATCAATGAGAAAATGATGTTTGTGCCAAGGATCATTACTCTTTAAATCCAGCCATGATTCTTTGGCTTTCACTACCAAAAACAAGGTATTATCGATTAAATTTTCCTGTCAATATAAGCTTAAATTTTGTTGGTACATTTATCGATAAAAATTTCCATTGATAGTAAACATGTTGGCAAAAGTATTTCGTCAGCAAATTTAAATTCCATCGGTAATATAATTATTTCGTCGATAATTGCTTCGGCACTCCATCAGCAAATATTCCGTCGACAATTATGTTATAAATCCGTTGATAAAATCTATTAGTAATCAATCGGTATTCCATCAATAAACTACAGGTAAACCGTCGGTAATTGTTAATTTTCATTGCTAAAAGTGATAATTCGATCAATAAAATCTGAATGCCATCAGTAATTTGATTAATTTAATCGATAATTATTTAAGAAAATTTTAAATTAAAAATAAAACATATGTGATTCTTTTAAAAGTTTATTGTTTGTCTATTATTCATTAAAAGTGTAAAAATAAAATCCCATATCCACAAAAATTCAAAAACAATTCAAATTATAAAGTTGGAATTCATAAAATATAGTAGTTTAAAACAACCCAAATTATCATAATACAAGTCCTGAAAAACAACCTGAATCAGCATTATTGCAGGGATTAGGGAAGTCACATCATGTCTTTATATGGTTTCAAGGGCTAGTGTAACTGCAAACTTGGGCATAAAGACATGACAAGCTCCTAGCATTAGCATGGCTATGGCAGAGGACAAACCACCAATGTGGCACAAAAGCAGTATGCAAATAAAAGGTTGGTGGGAAGGTTGGTGGGACCAAAGCAAAATGATAAACCAAAATAAACTGGAATGCATTGTTCATTGAGCTGTATGATTCCATCCAAATATGGAAGTCCACTTTCGAACAACCATACTTTTATTATTTACCGCTTCAATCATATCCTTCTAATTACTGTCAAGACAAATATACGTATTTCTAGAAGATAAACGTACATCATCCTTACTGTAACCAACAATTGCAACTTTTGCCAGGGATTTTACAATTAAAGCTGTATGGCTTGTGACAGTCCCATTGTCTTCCCAGTAGTTCCTATAAATATCCAAGAAAAATGAAAACCAAGGGCTAAGGATTTTTTATTTTTTTTTTTGCATTTGCAAGGGTGTATGAAAAAAAATTAAAAGCTAAATTTTACATTTAATTTATAGTTAAGATGCATGTTGTCTTTCTCCTTTGCTTTAATTTAACAAATGTAAGTAGAGAAAAAGGTGAAAGGGGGAAAACTCAAGAGTAAAAAATATTGCTTAGAAGCCATTGTTAATTTCTTAATACCAAATAACGTGCATAATGCATTATACCACCGCATGTTCTCCTATGGATAAAGTTAGTAAATATGAAAGATCAACGGGCCAATTGGATCCCATCCTTCCCATATGTTATCATAATATATGGATTTAATGTCGTAAGGAACAATTCCAAGCAAATCAATGAACCAGCGGAAGAGAGAGAATGAACCCGCGGAAGACAGAAAATGAACCGGAGGAACTCCGATTGTGGCAAGCTGCGACAGCGATTTAGGGATTTAGGGATTCTGATGAGGGAAGGAGAAAGAAGAAAAGGGATTCGAAGATTTTGTCCTTATTGAATTTCGTCGCTAATCAAAATTTATTAATTAATTAAATTTTTTATATTGTATAATTTATTTCAAATTTTTTTTCCTGAAAATTGTTTACCGACATATTATTCCGTAGATTATGTTGATACTAACTGATTATCAACGGATTATTCCGTTAGTATATCCTGCGTCAAATTTTCAAACTAGAATACCAATAATTTTTTTTTCGTCAATAAATTCTATTGATATACTATTAAAATTCCATTAGCATTTTCATGATGATTTTATAATTATGATTCGTTAGTAAATTATTGATAATTATCGATCGGTAAAATTTTATTAATGTTGAACAAATTTTTAATAGTATTTTTCAAAGCTAAGCAAAGTACCATTGCTAAACTATTTTAAAAATATTGCGATTTCTCTAATTTCAAATAAGGCAAAACTCATTAGCAAAAATAATAGAGAGTGGAATCCTAAAGTAAATAACAATATTTTTGCAATTGAAAAAAAATCAAGATTGTGGTTATATTTGGAATTAATTAGATAGTTAATAAAATTTATTCTTTTATAAAAAAAAAAGACCCAAATTTACATGAAAGTTAAATGAGAAAAACAATCTCATCAAAAATGTAAAAGGTAGCAGAAAAGCAATTCTAATAAAAAAAAAAAACCCCAAAATAAAAAAGAATACATTTAATAGGCATTTTTTGAAGAATGTCAAAGAATCTGAAGTATTTCTTTAATAATCTCCAAACTAATAAGAATGTGCCAAAATAAGAATGTTATGAACTTATAAAAAAAAAAATTAAATAAAATTATCGAGTATCGATGCATAAAACTAAATTCTTTAAAATATTTTGAACAATATATGCCAAAAATCCCTAGAATTCAACTTTGTAATAGGAACTTCAAAAACTTATTCAAGCATATAAAAGTAAGGAAAACCTTCTTATCTGAGACTAATTTTTAATTCAAGGCAAAAATAAAATAAAAAAAGATAGAATCACACAAAACTCTTACTTCTTCTTGAGAAATTAACAGTCAAAGGAGTGCGTAGGGGTCATAGAGAGGTTCAACAATGCAAGCCCGATGGCTTACTGATGGTGTTCCATTATGTTCCTAGTGTTATTCTGACACAAATTAGACGACTATTTGGCTAAACCTAGCAAATTGATCCATCAACACCTTTGTTTATTTGTTCTCCCTCTCTTTATCTCTCTATTTCTGCTTGCTTTTCCATTTGGTCCTTCGACATGGATTGCTAGAAAGAAAGTTGTGTAGTTATTTATATTTTGAAATTTTACATTAGTTATCACTAACGATACTGCCAGTTATAGAAGAGATGTTATCAACTGGCCATAAAACAATGTCATTCATATCAGATCTTGTTGAATTCTTCTAATCCTATTCGACCTAAATATGTTTAACCTCCCAAGCTTTTCATAGCCAATTAACTCTTAAAATTAACAAAAACAAGAGCTTTGTAAAGCCTTGAATCAGTGACTTACCCTGCTAATCTTGCAAGTCTATTTATCATAACCAAAAAGGGAAATTTTTGAACTTGAAAAGTAAGCAAATCTATTGCAAAATGGTGCTTGAACACAACAATATTAGGATCATTGACAACTGACTCTAATAATGCTCGTTCAATCTCTCTTTGAGTCATGTTAACAGCATTAACAATTTGTGATGAGAATGCCCCCTTCCTTGCTAGATGCAAGTTTTCATCCCCGCCATGGTCAAATGATGCAGCCATGGTAATCAATTCTCTTATTACATCAGGTCTTTCTGTACAAACAACCTGGACAAACAGAACCAAATTCAAAGAAACCTCAGTAATGAGCTAAAATGCTAGAGATGACCACAAACTTAACTATGTATGTCTAACTCAGCAAACCCACTTTACCAATGTCTGCTGTAATCTCAAAGTTCAAATTTCAGAAAACCTTAGAATTTATTAACTAAACTTTCTAACATGAAAAAAAGTCATCATCATTGCACAGACTACAGGAATTGATTATAATTTTTTGTCAAAATGATTTCAAAAGGTAAAAAGACCTGGGTATTAAAACTATTTTTGAGAAAGAATGGATCAACCTTCTCCCTATAGGATTTCAAATGCAATGTTGGACTGTAGAAATGCCTTTCAATTTGATCGTTATGTAAATCAAGTTTCCAGTTGCTTACACCAAAAGCATTCATGTGAAAAAGAAAAAAAGATTGATGAAAGAATACTGAAGAGTAAAAGAAAGAATCCAAAACTAATTTTGACAATCTCCTCATCACATAGATAAGCCCTTACCACAATTGTATCCTACATGTGACTCTCCAGGGAATTTGAAAGACAGAGAACTGCACTACCACTTCCTTAGGCATAGTTTTTATTACTCTCATGGGCCTCAGCTTTCTTGATAACTGCGACAATTTCATATTTTGTAACTTTAAGAGCAAAACGAAGTCATGCAACATCACTGCCAATGACGGAAAAATCAAAATATTTTGTTAAACCATTTCTTAAGTAGGTTGATGTGGATACTATCCTACAGGACTTTCAATTTGTGCTTATAGGAGATTAAGAAAAATTATACCCATGTATCTGTAAAAACTTGGATATCCCACATGACTTGGAAAATCTCCAAAAAAAAAATTAATAGATATAGTTAGAAGCTTTACTAAAAATTGAAAATTCCACAACATTGATATCTACTCAAAAAATACATAAATGAAATAGAGAAAAATATGATTCTTAACAAATACTATAAGAGTTCTCCCTGAAAGTATCCATGGAATGTCACACTAGGAACCCAAATAGCTTGTCTATAACCTTGTGCCCTACAAAAGTTCACCCCATATTGCAAATGGCCGCCTACATAAGCAATTCTCAGTAAGAGCAACAAATTTTTAGTCAAAGGCCTTTATCCCTTTTTTCCCTTCAAAACTCATCATCTCTCTCTCTATATTATATATAGCCATTCACCACCAAAAGAAAAACCCTAATTTTTAATTGGAAAAAAGTAAGAGCAATTTCAATTAAAAATTGAATGGCTTAACAGCGAATACTCTAGCATTTAAAGAATAACCAAAAAGAAAAAAAATTCAATTGAGCAAATAAAAGAACAAGCAAAAAACCTTAAAATTGAAAAATTAAAGGTAAAATGGAAAAACAGGAAAAGTTTCAAATAGGAAAATAAAAGACCAAAAAAAAAAAAAAAACCTTAAGAAAGGAGGAAGAGATTAAGACTTTAGAAAGGTCTAGAAATGGTAGTTGTGGAAGGGTTGATTTTTGTTGTGGGGGGATTTTTAAACAAAAAGGAAAAGGAAGAAAAATTGCCTAACAGATTGATCCATCGACACCTTTATTTAGTTGTTCTCCTCCCCTTTATCTTTCCATTTCTCCTTGCCTTTACATTTGGTCGTTCGACGTTGATTGCGGCTTCCTTTGGTTGGTCCATCAACAACCTTTCTCCCTTTTTCCCCCCCTAAATTGGCCCTTTTCCTTTTTGCTATTGTTCCCTTCCCCATTTCTCTTTGTTTTCTTTTCTTCCCTATCATCTATCTCAAAAAATCCATAAGCTTTAGTCTTTTGTTTATCCAAATTTACCCTTAAAATTTTTTTTAAGACATTAATCATATGTATAGCAAATTACAAACTGAAGCAATCACGGGATAGTTTTTATAGTAGTCATAGATTTTAAACTCTTTGAGTTGAAAGGAATTTTAAAATTCCACCAATATCTATTTACTTGTTCATTTTTATTTTTATTTTAAATTTAAAAAATTAAAATTTAAGTAAATTATGGAATGTCAATTAAATTAAAATAAATAATAAATTTTTTTTTATGTTCGATGTGAAATTCAATATATTTTCTTAGATCGTGATACTTGTACTCGACATTAATGATAATAGATATATTTGTTTTATGTTCCAATTTTTTTTGAGTGGCCAACGTGATAACATTACTATAAAATAGCGCAAATATTGTATTCTTGAAATAGATCATGGAACAAAAATTTTTTTTGCTTTTGTTTTGTAGTCACCCGGCTTCTGCACCCTTCCAATTGGCTATGGTAGTTCCCTCTTTCTTTATTTTTTTCACTTTAATTTAACCCTTTGATTTTTTTTTTCTTAAAATTTAACTTCTAATTACATTTTTTTATAATGTTAATTAACATTCCACTTTTACTTGGCTTTCATGACCACCTTTTTCTTTTGTTTTTCAATGATTACCCTCATTTTTTTATCAAAATAAATTTCTGAAGACTAAGAGTTTGAATTTAATTTTTTGTTGGCAAGCATATATATATATATATTTATTATTAGATTAAATATTTGATTAAAATGACGATAACTCAATAATTTTCCCATTTCAAAATATTTTTAGATTTTGTTATAAATCTAATTAATTACTTCAATCCTGTAAATCAATAGTCTAAATCGCACGATAATTTTCCAATTTCAATAGGCTTTAATCCTTAAGATTTAATACCAGAAAGAGAAGAGAGAAATAGAAAGAATTTGAGAGTGCGAGAGAGCAATAAGAGAAATAGGGATATTCAACAATTTGGGTATTTTCTTTGAGGTGGTTATACAGGTATTTTAATTACAAAGAATCATGCTGTCTATCCTTTGGATCAATTGTCTTGAATCGATTGATGTGTCATTGAAGTTAACACTTGAAGATTACAAATTCAAAAAATTTTAAACACGTAATATGCTTTTTGGTCGTATGTGCTAGGGTTGGAGAGTTTATAAAGTAAATTAAGGAACTTCAAAAAAAATATTACAAAGAATCATAATACTCTGGAAGAAATATATGGGGTTTATTCCAAAGAATTTTTGTGTTCCAATTGTAGTGAATCTTAAGCTTTGGACAAAAAGTTTAAGATATTATAATCTTGTAATTACCTATTCCTTATAGTGAATATTAAACTTTGATGTTCTTTTATTCTGAATAAATTATTACTTGGCTTAATTATTATGCTGGTGATTATATTTTTGTCCCCTGGACCCAACACCTTTAACATCGATCTCCTTGAAAACCCTTGCCCAACCCAACTCCCCATTTCTATCTGGAAAAAGATAAGTGATGCAAGTAGCATAGAGTCAATAGATTTTCAAGGTGGAAACATGCTCTTGCCCTAGAACTGATTGCATTTATGATAAACGTAATAAAACAAATGCTCAAGAACAACAGGAAAATGAGACATTCGAGTTCTTTGTAACGGGTGACGAAATAGGAGAGGCAAAACAGGGGTTTTTAAGGACTCGTCACCTACTGTTTGCAACAATATTTTATGCGCCTTTCTTCTCCACAAGCGTTTCAATCAGATCAGCTGCATCCTGAACTGTGGTAATACTTTGAGCACTTTCTTCTTCCACGGAGATTCCGAACTCCTCCTCGAGTCCCATCACAATCTCGACCTAAATCACAAGAATTTGGCACTATTTGATTTTAATATTTTTAATAGTCAAATTGTGGTTTTTTAATAATGCAACAACATCACAAGAAGATTTTGACACAAACATCCAAACTTAAAATAATACATTAATCACAAGTGTTAAAGCAGAAAGGTTAAGAATTAGAGGCAAACAACTGTTTATTACTACATCCAAATGAAATAGGGTAGATATTGGTTACCGTGTCAAGAGAATCGGCTCCGAGTGCAACAAACTTTGACTCTCCGGTGACAGAAGAATCATCAGGTAGTGCCAGTTGTTTCCTCACTATTTTACAAACTTTGTCCACTGTCTCTGGTTTGGCCTGAACATATGAACATCCTCGTAGCCAGTAAGCAGATTGAGTATGATGGAGAAATGCAAGTAAAGGCTTCATATCACCACGAATGACAAAAGGAATATCCCCCATCATTGTAATGTGATTGGCAAATGCAGAACATACTTGATATGTTGCAATCCATGGCATACATATGCATGATAAACTGGATCTCTTCAAATTGATAAATGTTCCTAAACAACTTTGGCTTGGGGAATATTTGGAGACCCCCACATGACATATGAGGTATTGTTCGTTTTCACCCGAAGTTTTCTCTACATATAAATCATAACAGATCTGTGGAATATCCCGATATAGGATTGAGGTGTTACATAAAACAGCCATAGTTAAGGGTCCTTTCATCTGTATGATTATATATTTATTGTCATCTTAATATTAGATGGTCCCAATGATAGGTTAGTAGACGATATTGTTTGGCACTAAATGAAACAGCATAGCTAAATGAATAAGTTGATGGATACAGATCCACAAATTCAAGCTAAAAAACGGAGCAGATGAAAAGAAAAGCATACCGCACAGGAAATGCGAATGCGCAATGATCCTGGTCGCATTGTAAGAGATGGGAAGCTAACTGAGTTGACATTAGAGACCCCAAGAAAAGGTACCTGCTCACACAGAATTGAATCACCAACTGAAACCTCTATCAAAAGCAGAACGTCCAGACAAAACTAGGAAATCATATGATACAAGGGGACGGAACATGAAAACAGAGGTGGTTGCATGTTTGACTCGGAATCACATTTTGCCACGTTCAAAATCACTTAAAAAACATTGTAGTATTTGTTAGATCTCAAATTCAACCTGAACAAAACCAAAGACGAGATCTTGAAAACTGATCCCTTATCATGAAAGATGAAACTTTACTGTTTCAAATCTCAAGAAACCTTTCAAGTCCATAACTTTCTTAGAATGCTCATCCAACAAAGGATCAAAGATTGAATCTTTCAGCTATTTACATGATTGCATTCTTAAATTATTTAAATTTCAGCATCAAATCCAAAAACCCATCGAGGAAAAACACTTGAAAAAGGAATCTAAAACAACCGAAAAAAGAAACAGAACACCCACATCAACATTTTTAACCAAACCCAACTTAAAAACCATAGAAAAAGGTAAAAAAAAAAAAAGATAAGACAAAATCAGAAGACAAAAAACTGAACAAAAAGATCAAGATGGCAAGTGACCTGAGTCAGCTTGAAAGAACTTGAAAGAGGAGTGAACTTCAATGAAGCTCCAGTTAAAGAAGCCATTGGAATGGGTTTCGATGGATTCAAGGAAGAAGGAAACAGAAAGAAGAGGCGGAGATCACGAAGACAGAAGGAGAACGAGCTGAGGGGGTTTAAGTTAAAAAGAGTTGGATTGTGATGTTTTTATAAATGCCTTGTCGTTTGCTTATAGTTTAAAAGAGTAGTTGAGATTTGTCGGCAATTCCCATTACCCACTTTTCATAGTTTTCATCGAAAAGACAGGTAAAGTCCATTTATAGTCGGCCAATTTATTTCGGATCAATTTACATGTTATTATTAAGTTTTTTCGTCTCAAAATATTTATTATGTATTAATTTTTATAAAATTTTTAAAAAATTAATTTTAATATATTTATTATTAAAATATTATTTTTAATAAAATTAAATTTTTATGATTTTTTGTCAAAAAATAAAAAAATCATAAAAATAATTTTAAAATATAAAAATTAAGAATTTTAAATATTTAAAAAATAAAATATAATTTTGGAATATCTTAAAATAAATAGACAAAAAAATGAGATAGAAAAAGTATTATTTATATTTGTGAAATTTATAATTAATAATTACACTTTTATATAATATTTTAAACTCTTTGAGTTCAATCGAATTTTAAAATTCCTCCATTATCTTTTACTTGCCCATTTTATTCTTATTTCAAAATTTAAAAATTAAAGTTTTAGTAGATTATTTAATGTCAATTAAAATAAAGTAAATAATAGAATAATTCTTTTTATATAAAAAATACCGCAATGAACCGCTCAATAATTTTTCAATTTCAATAAATTTTTAAATTTTATCATAATCCTAAATAATTATTTTTAATTATGTAAATTAATAGTTTAAACCGCATTTAAAGATAATATTAATCGAAAAACATTATTCATTTAGAAAAAGTTAGTGATTAGGTTAACTAATAGTGGGGTTGAACCATCGTGGTCCAACTATTTTGAATTATTAAATCTTACCATACCCTATGAATCTATTTCTTTTTAATGTCCCAACTCCCAACTAATTTTGCCATAAGCCTTGTTACATTTGATTATATTGCCTAGCAAAATTTGTCTAAATTTTTGTTAGATAACCTAACTTATCATCCCTAGAAAAAAAAAGTTATATATAATAATTACAATTAATTAATATAAATTAACATACTATTAAATTGAAAAATAGTGCTTTGAGAGATTTTTTTTTGTTTTATTTTTTCTTTGTTATTAGTAAATTAAACAAAAATGTAAATTAGTGCTTTTCAAACTTTTGCTTTAGTAGGATTTGATTAAGATAAATGGTGAAAGAGGCTCGCATCACATCGTGAGTATTGTTTTATAATTGAACCGTAACACATTTAAAGAGACATTAAATTTCATTTGAATGGATGATGAGATTAATTGTAATAAGATTTAAAAAAATAATAAAATTTATTGTAGCTACAATTAAAAAAAATTATTATAATTACAATTGAAAAAAATTTTAATAAAAAATTTATGTTGACTTAATCTCATTATTCACTGAAATTAACATTTAAATTTAATTAAAAAGTGTAATGAGCTTAATCATACTACACAAAAAATGCGATGAGATCCAAATGGTATTTTGTCTTATCATCATTTGTACCCATTACAATGTATTTTCACCCATGCATAAATCTATTATTCCTTAACATTTTTTTGTGACAAAAACCTTTAAATAGTGTTTATTTTAAATTTTAATGCAAAAAATTAAAAAAAAAAGAGTGCCAAAAAAATAAATAAAGGGTTTTTTTTCATTGAATTTTCCCTAATATTTTCTTTTTTCTTTCAAATTTTTCCCAAACAAAGCCTAATGGAGGAGAAGACGATGGAAAAGTGCTTGAAAAGAAACTTCATTTATTTGGCCTTTTTCATTTTTCACTTACGTCAAGAATTGTTATTTTATTTATTTATGGGATAATATTTCATTTGGTCCCTAAGTTGTTGTAATTTTCAATGTGATCCTAAACTAAAATTTTTTTTAATCATATGTCTAAGTTTTATTTTTATATGTTAAGTTATCCTAACCTCTTAACATCATTAAAATAATATTGATATAGCATTTAAATACTATCATAAATGATATGTAACTGTTACATGGTAGTGATGTGATTATTATATATTATTTTTAAAATATACAAAAAACTTTTTAAAAAAATTTTATGTAAAATTTATTTTACTTTTTAAAAATAATATATGAGAGTTATATATGATACGATATAATATTTATATGTCATTCACATCAATATTTAAATATCATATTAATATTATTTTAATGGTGTTAAGAAATTAAGGTGACTTAATACATAAAACTAAAATTTAAGTACTTGACTAAATTTTTATTTTAACAATCACATTAAAAAAAAAAATACAACAATTCAGAAGACAAATGAGTTATTTTACCTTTATTTATTTATATTTTCCTCCAAGCTTACAGGTTCATCAAAATTCAAAAAGCTATGCACGTGATGGCTCATAGTTGGCTCGATTAGCCAGCTGCTTGTCGAAATGGCTTGGTTCAAAGCTATGCCTTGGCCTAACACCAAATTTTACATTCACACAAAAATATATTTAATTTTACTAAATCAAACCATAGTTATAATATTCATTTTTTTAAACATTTTTATAACTATTAGAAATAATAAAAATAAGAAAAAAACCAAAACTATGAGAAAAATATTTTTTATTATAAAAAAATAAAAAATTTTCAAGATAATTCCTTCATTATTTATATTAATCTTGTCTTACACCTAAAGCTTATATATTACTTTTTTTCATAAAATTAATTATAGATGTAATATAAATTATAATTTAATTTAGTTTTGTTATTTATATACTCTCTCAAGTATAAGTAATATAGAACAAAAGTATCAATAAAAATAATATTGAATTTAGATTTTAGTTAATTGATTTATGTAATCAGATGAAATCTAATAAGTATAGATTCAAATTTTAATAATTGTAATCATTTTTTTATATTCATATTATGATTTTTTTATAAAAAAATAAATTAAATATTTATATTTAGTCATAAGAATTAAAAAAATCCTTAAATAAAAATTTAATAATCATTTAAATTTTTAATATTTTATTATAATTAATTAAATCTTGAATCTTTTATTTCAAATTAATTGAACTCTTAAACATTTATTTTCACTTAATTAAACTTTTATACATCTATTTTTATTCAATTAAATCTTAGGTTAAACAAAAATTATTAACTATTTTTGTCTAATAAAAATTCAATTAATAAAATAAATATTTAAAAATTTAATTGATTACATAAAAAATAAAATCTTATATGATTATTAAATTTTAATTTACAAATTTTTTAACCCTTTTGCCTTGTATTCAAAAAGTCCATTTAGCAAGTACATATATAAAAAAAAAAAATCAAAATGAGCCTAGTCGTTTAAAGGGTGGAGCTGTAACTGTCCTGTTAGTTGAAAAGGGAAGCAAACGATGCGAAGGGAAAGGAAACAAGAGCGGGTACAACCGCTGAGGGCGGCCAAAGCAAAGCGCAGATAGACCCACCCCACCCACGTACCCAACACCACATTTTCCAATGCAAAAACAACTCAAACCATAAACTAAAAGACATAACCTTTTCTTTCATTGTAAAGATCAGCTGACTGCAACTTCAATCTCCATTGTAATGAAAACTCAAGCTTCTTTATATATATATATATATGTATCCTCTTTGCTTTAGAAAGATTAAGGCTTTTAACATTTTGCTTTTGTTCTTGCCATCTTTACAGAGACCATGACTTCAGAGCTTTTGGAAATTCATCCTCAAGAACTCAAATTTACCTGTAAAGTTCCTTCATTTTTTTTTTTCCTTTCTTAAATTTACTTCCATAAAGGTTGAATGAAGTCTTCTTTACAAGGGTATTTGATTTATTCTTTGCTTTGTCTCTTAATAAAGTTGAGTTGAAGAAGCGGAGTTCATGTTTAACCCAATTAGCCAACAAGACTGATCAATATGTAGCCTTTAAGGTAGGTACTGGCTATCCTTAAAAAAAATCCAATTTTCATTTCTGGGTCTTTTTCATTTTCCCATTTTCTGATCTGTTTTGAATTGAAATCTAAGACTTAGATTCAACACCGATGAGTTTAGTACTGGAACAATTTAGTCTGACAAAAAAAAAAGATTTTCAGGTGAAGACTACTTCTCCTAAGAAATACTGTGTCAGGCCTAACACTGTCATTTTAAGCCCAAATCAGCATCTGATTTTACAGGTACATTGATTATAAAGTTTTTACTCTGTTGTTTCTTAATATGGAATCAGATTTTGCCCCAGTCAGCTTTTTAATTTAAGATTCTGGTACATTTATTTTTGTTAAGGTATTTAATTCTAGCAATTTTAAAGCTGGTTTGTCAGTGATTGATGGGTGTTGGTTGATTACTGATGGTTTTAGATTGAGTGCTTCTTTTGGAGACTAAGGCTCCACTTGGATGGATAATGAAATTGGCTATTGAAAATAATAATAAAATTTTTTGTAATTTTATTGAAAATAAAAGTTATTGTTACTGTATAAAAAAAAAAATTTTAATGAAAAATTTATGCTGAATGGATTTTATTAGAATTGACATTTAGATTCAATTAGCGTTAGATTCAATTAGCGGTAAAGTGAACTTAATTGCACTGCATCTTCGATGAGATGGAATCCAAGCCTAGCATAAATTACTTTGAAATTTAGGGTTAGTTGAGATGTCTTTCTACTTAAAGTATTGTTGCCGAACATGTTTCTGACGTCAAGTGTGTTTGTGGGATTTATGGGTTTGTTATGGAATGTATGTAAAAGGGGTTATCAGCATATGTGTTCTGGTTTCAACAAATGTAGGATGCCAAGCCAAAATAATAGCAGTTATTGTTGTCTAGCTGATTGATTTGCAACATTGGTCATCTTCCTACAACAATAAGCCTGTCAGATACAATGATTTTGATGTTGTTTGGTTGGTGCAGTCACTATGCAAGCTCAGCGTGTTGCTCCGCCTGATTTGATGTGTAAAGACAAGTTCCTGATTCAAAGTAAGGTAGTTCCTTTTGGAACATCCGAGGAAGACATTACGTCCAACATGGTAAGAATTTGCCAATCCAATGGTTGTTGTTTTTGTTTCTATGATGTCTTTTGTAATTTGTCGGCAGTTTTCTAAGGAAAGTGGCAAACACATTGAGGAGAAGAAGCTAAAAGTATTCCTTACTAGCCCACCATATTCACCTGTTTTGGCTGCTATCAATGGAGACTTGAAACAAGATTCAGGTCATGAAACTTCATCTACAAGGGATGGAGCATGGAATGGAGTTGAAAACATACCTCAACCTGAGAGGGTAAGTGCACTTTTCATGTTATAGCAGTGCCTATCTTTGATATTTGATTTTTTATTTTTGAAAACAAAAAAGAAAGAAAATCCCTTCTAGCCAGGCATGCCAGTTGTGATAAAGACCCTAGTGTAGTAATTATTTTCTCTTGTGCTAGGTAGCTGAGCAGGTGCTGGGGTTTGAGGCTGCTAAAGATGCAGTTGAGTTAAGAACAACTAAGAATGTTCAACGGTTTGAAACTTCCAAGGTGGACAGAGATGAGCTAAGAGCAGCTGGTGCTCTGCAATTAAGTCCTGCCAAGGATGAGCAGGAACTGAAACCTGCAAAAGGAATAGAGGAATTGAAGTTGGGTAACGATTTTCAGGTGTTAAAGTCAAAGATAAATTTTATGGATTCAAAACTTAAAGAGGTTAGTAAATTTTTTCCCTTTTTCCTCTTAGATTTAAGTTTAACGAGACTGTTATGAATGAACATGCACTTAATTCACTGTAGACAAATGACAACCAAATTTTTGGTGTCATTTCATGAACAAGTTTCTTTACTTTACATGCAATTCATCATCAGGCTGATCTTAGGATTATGAAACTGACAGAAGAGAGGAGAATGGCTACTCAAGAGAAGGATAAGCTTAAGAGTGAATTAGTGAGTGACATTTTCATTACATTTTGAACCGCATTTATCTTTGTTGTTTTTGTAACATTAAACTTCAGAAAAAAAGTCTCTACTGTCACTAGTCTTTCAAATTGACACAATGAAAGAGAAACTTGCCAAGAAATAAAATTATCTAACCAGCAGGATAGTCATACTAACAACATCATGGAAACATTATTAATTTGAACATATTATGTTAGATCAAGGAGATTGGTTCTTTTCTTCTATCATCCACGTGTTCTATTGGTAGAGTGCTAGACTTTTAGTTCTAGTGATCAGGTTTAATCCGGCAGCCTCAAGTATAAAATAAATGACTGGCTCTTTTCTTAGTTAACAGCTACGAAGGGATCGACCTGCTGTATTCAGCAGTTAGCCATTCAGTTCGCAAATTAACCTTTTTCTCAAGTCTACGAAACTTTATAACGTTTGCCTTTCCTGTTTGTAGGAGGTACTGAAGAGGAAATCTGATGTTAAAACAATTAAGGTGGGTTTTCCCTTACTCTATGTATGTATGGTGGCCCTCATCAGCCTCGCAGTCGGATACCTTAGCCATCTCTAAGGGACAGTTTCTTCGCATGAAACTGAATCTGTTTAACACCAAAAGTATAGTCTTTTTGTAAGTTGTATGCAATGTAGGAACCTGTTATTGTTTTGTAGGTAAATTGAACAAATCTGATGTAAGAGAATAAAAGTAGCATTTCTCTCAGTTGATTGTATGGAGCCCATATGTCTTAAGTGATGTGCTTTACACGCTGAACAGCCCAAAATTTTCATGAGAATGTTATAGCGAAAATTTTGTGAGACATATTTTCTCAACCCGCCTTGGTGTAATCCATCAGTTAGATCTTTAAAATGTTAGCATAAAAGGCGAATTTCGGCTGCAATACCGCAGAGTTTGGATGTTTTTCTAAGGAAAGATTAGAATAACAAGTAAAGATTTTATTGTCAGGAGATCATTAAATCGAATGTGAATCTTCGTTGAAACTTATGATATGCCTTGATCTTGGAACGGGATAACCTTCCCTTGCTGCACTTAGTAATTTCGTGATTGTACAAGGGTAGAATGCAAGGAAGCATGCATCTACACATTGCGTTGCGAAGAATAATGGCTTTTAATTCGAAATTTAATTTAATTGATTTGTATATCACTTTTAAAACGTAACATCTAACATGTTCAGTGCAGTCTTTTTTTCTATACTTATATTACGGCTTCTTTTGTACCAAAAAAATAATGGCTTTTTAAAAATCCATTTGCTGAGGTTTTAAGTATAAAGCAAGGTATAAAGGAAGAGAGTAATATGAAAAAATAGAATCAATAAAACATTTTACAAAAAAAAAAAAAAAATCAGATACAAAAACCAGAAACGATGTCAGGAATATAATCACATTGAGAGATAATAACCAATATAGGAGTGCCATCAAATAATAAGCAGCTAATGCTGGACCAAAATGCTGTTATAATCAACCTGAAAAACTTCACACGGAAAGCCGGCTTCATTGCCCTATCCTACAACTTTATAAATTTAGTAGTATTCGGTACCTGTATATCTTTGCTGCTACTTCCTTTTCATTGCCATTGATCAACATTTTGTTCGGTAGGTGATCCAGGTACGAAGCGTGTGAAACCCCTTCCTCCAAAGACAGGTCGCATGAAGGTGTCATCGAATTTTCTCCAATAATAATGCACGGTGGTGGAAGGAGTGCTCAACAGCATTCTTAGGCTGGTTGGTCGGCGTACATTATGGTTGCTTTGGTCAGCCTCCGATTCATTCCTGTTGCCAAGAAGCGGCACTATGAATGATTTAGGAGTAGTTGGCTCGGAAGAAAGCATTCTCATGAGATGTTTTGAGGAAGGAAGCAAGATTCTAATTAATGGTTTAGTCATCAATCCAAAAACCTGCATGATTCAAAGGAACATAATTACATAGGGATCATGTGGTTTAATCAAAATAGGAAAAACAAACTTAACTAAGATCCAGATTTCTTGAACAATACAATGTCATGAATGACCTTGAATTATAGTACAATGTTTAATGTGGTATCTAAACTTTAAAAATGTCTAATGTGATTCGTAAGCTATGAATCTGTTAACTAAAGTAGTACTTGAAGGGTTGTTTGTCAGCCACGTGTCATCATTTGAAGCTAATAATGTTAGGAGCGAATATCAGATTAGTTAACATATTCATAGTTCAAGCATCACATTAAAGATTTTTAAAGTTTAAATATCACATTGAACATTTCACTATAATTCAGGGATCATTCGTGAAATTAACTCGTTAATTTTCATGTTGGCATAAGGTAAACATAAAAGAGATGCAAAATGGAGTGCTACAACATTTAAAGCAGTTTTTGAGTGCTCCGTTGCAATTAAAAATGTGATGTTTGGGCAAGACCAAACAAGTATGAGAGGAAAGGTAAGAGGCTATGATCAAGCTTCAGTGACAAAGGAAGGGATGACTTGTGTCTTACCACTGTGCTGAAAAGAACAACTGTGATTGTGCTGGTTATCATCATTGCATTCCCTCGCAACTGAGTATGACCTAAACTGGTAAACTACAAAAAAGGAACAGTTAAGCTCATCATTACGCATTTTTTTTTCTCTATTGGGCTCAACAAATTCAAGACAAGGCATGAAGAACGCAAAAACTTGCAACTTTATACAAGTGTTCCACATTTTCACTGACAAAATCATCTTGATTTGGCATACTTAAATTAGCAGAATATGCAAAACTTGATCAAAACCTTTAAATAAATATCAAAATATTAATTGAAAACTATCAATTACAGCCTGTTGGCCATTTGCCAATCGATTTTGTAACCAAGGCATTAGGTAGCATGCAGGAGGAGAATTAACTGCTTATTTTGTTATTATGATGCATGGCCAAAAGGAGAACAAGCATCTCAATCTAAAGGCTACACCACAATGTGATGCTGCTAATTTAGTACTTTTTTGAGTGTCCAAACATCCTACTATTGACATCCAAAAATTACCTAATGTTGCATGGTCTACCTAAGAAGAAACCAGTTGAATCTTATACCTGATTATAAGAAAGTGCCATTGAGACAGCACCACGCATAAGACCAGCCCACCAAATGGTAAACTGCAAAATAGATGTCCAAAGAGAGGGTATGAATTCATCAATCCATCTCGGGCACACTAGAGATACAAGTCAGAATAGTTTGAAACTCATACTTGCTGTTTAAAGTCAACTTTCTCACATGGAGCTTTCTTAGTCAAGTTGGATATGAAGGATAAAGGGAAAACAAAGGCTGCTCTTCCAACAAGAATCAAGCCCAACAGAATTGCACTAACCCCAACTGATTTTCCAGGGCTGAGAAGAAAAGAGTTAGATTAACTTAACTCCACATTTGATAATAGCCAAAACCGCATCTATCTGTAAGATTTAAAAACATTTTATTATTGACCTCACCTATCACTAATAACTCTCCACTTCTCAATGTCCAAGGCATCCATTCCAACGTAGAGGAAGATAAAGATCTCAGCAACGAATGAAAGAGTGGCAAAAGCATGCCTGTGACAATAATTGAGAGCAATGAAATATCAATAACATGACAGGTTGGTTGGTAGTCTCCCAGGATTAAGAAAGGAAGTGGAAAACTTATTTAACTATTCAAAATAACAGATTTTGGAGATTGAACATACTTAGTTGTCACTCTTGAATTTTCAGTAACATTATGCCACGTGTAGTGGGACATAACAATCCCACAAAAGAATACAGTGAGAATTGCACTTAAATAGAAAAGCTGCGAGACAATAGTGCCAATATTGTAGTTAGAATGCCTTTTCAGCTTAATACGAAAAAAAAAATGGTTACTGAAGAGGTGCCCTACAAGTTCTGAGAAACCTTACTTCAGCCAGCATATATGAGAGGTAAGCCATGAGTATCATAAGAGCAACCTCGCGATCAGTAGACTGCCTGTTTTGCAAGAAGAGGAGAAATATGAGGACACTGTCCTAAAAGAACAGAAACTCCCTGCCTTCATTTTTTACGTAAAACTGAAACAACTATTGAAGGTGACCATATGATTTAAAAGGAAAAACAGAAAGTATTTACCAGTACATATAATTAATTACATTAACAGCATAACAAGTGCTTACTGTTAACAAGAGATATAATCTTATTATTTTCAACTAAACTTGTGGTTGGGAAAGTTCAACGATTCTACATTTTTGTATCCCATGGAAGTATCAAAGAATTCAATTTACCCTCAGCTAGTTCAATGAGGCCAACTTATAAATATTGGACTTATATACAAACCTTCCAAAATAGAGCTTTTTAATAATGTAAGCACTAAGCAGTCCAGCCTGTAGGAGATAAACAGATGATCAAGAAAAATATCCAACCACAAGATATTCAAACTGACAAGAGAACGAAAGCCTCACCAAAACTCCCAGCAAAGTACTTAAAGTAAATAAGTACAAAAAGTTTCCAACAAATTGCAATGCAATGGTAGAGTTGATGTGAGAAAGGTCAAAGCTCTGGATTGCATTGAAAAGAACCACTGATGTGGCATCATTGACAACTCCCTCCCCAAAAACCAGACTGTACAATAAAGGTGTCTCATCCTGATTAAGCACCTGAATGCACAAGCAGAGGATAAATAGGTCAACTCAATTGCCTTTTAAAAGTTGCAGCAGCAATCTAGATCTCAAACATGCATACTTGCAAAGTGCAAACAGAATCTGTAGCAGAAAATATTGCGCCAATTGCTGCAGTTAAGAGAAAGAGGAGAATTAAGCAAATGACTAAAATATAAAATACAACAATAAATAGGAAAAGAGTGGCACGAATATTACCAAGATAATCTCCTATGTTGAGATTACCAATATTCATTTTCTCAAAAAATTGTATGGCACCTAGGTCACAATAAAGAAAGAAAAAAAATTAGCATTAAGCAGTTATTAACACAAATAGCTTAAGTGGAATATTCTATGTATTTCATCATCATGCTGTACAGTCTTTTAACCAGAGAAAGAACACCTTACTTTCTGAGATATGACCAATTTCATTTGTATTTGTGCCAGTGTGCGAGCAAACATGCATGTTTGTTTAGCCCAACGATGATTATGATCACACTCATTTTTAGAACTTCAAGTTGGAGCATCTTTTCCAAATTTTCACTAATAATTTGAAAACAATGGATTTCATAACCCATCCACCTTCAACTACAATATCAAGTTGTTCATGACAACGCATGCAGTGTCTGGCTTTCGAACTTCTGCACCCACTAATAAGATGAAACATATATATGAAGGTTATCATCAAACCAGTAAACATACCTAAAGATATGATGCCAAACGATATTAAAGTACCAACTGCACCAAACAGCATGATAGTCATAAAGTTGCGGAAAAATTGCTTCTTCTTCACCTGGAATCTGGTAAAAGAAAAATATATCAATCATTGTCAATGTCTAGCTGCTTCCACTAAAACAGACTACTATTAAGTATAATCCCAGTATACGATCCAAAACTAAATTTGAAGCAAAATCCCACATTCAAAATAACCAAAAAATTTTCAAATCACAGTATCCGCAACCCTTTCCATATTCCCAATCCTTATCCCTAAACTACGATCTCCTTTTTACAAAAAAAAAAAAAAAAAAAAAAAATCAATGCACTTTAACTCAGAGCAACCAAAAATAAATCATGTTCCTTATAAAGTAAGTGCAATATAAAAACAAAGATTAAATGCAAGCATCAATAACTCACCCCGCATTAAAAATAATAGGTGGAAGCAAATAAATAAAGAACAAATCTTCACTGAAAACTAAAAGATGAGAGCTTTTTCCTCCTGTTGTAAGAAAAATTACAACTCCAGTGCAAAACCCCTGCCATTAAAAAATCAAAATTAGGAAAAATTAATAGCTTTTTGTTTTTTCCTTTAACAAAAAAAAAAAAAGAAAAAAAAGAAATTTATATGCAAAACTAAAACCTTACAATGGCAAGGGCAGTAATGGACTCGTTCATCCATCGGTTTTCCTCTAGCAATTGACCGATCACGATACACCCACAAAGAAGCGCCACGAATAAGTTCATTGAAACTACTGAGCTGTGATCAGAGCCTAAAATCGTCCCTGACCTTGCTAAAACAGAGCTCAATATCCCGATCGCCATGGTATTAACAATCAAGAATTAAATGATTTTAAGGTAAGAGTTTAATTTTATAATTCAATTTTCCTTCAAGTTTTTTATTTTGGATCTGAAAACTCCCATTTCAGAGACTTCCAGCTGCTGACCCCGTTGAAAATCTGTTCAAAAAATAAAAATTAAACACGGAACTCAATCTTGGATCAGTCAATTAACGATAGCTCGGTTTCTTAAGGTTTTCTAGTATGGCTGCTGAGAAAGAAGAAAGTAAAGTGAGACAAAATGAGATTCAAAATCCATAGTTTTCAGCTTTGAAACACAAAAAAAAAAGGTGGAATAATTCAAACTTAAAGAAATAAACTCAAAGAAAATAAAACCTTTTTGAAAATAGAAAAAAAAAAAAGAACTGTTTAAAACACAAAATCAAGTTATCTAATTTTCCTTTCTTTTTTTTTTTAATTTTCCTGCTATTTTCTTGCTGGCCAAACAGAGCCACCTCGTCAGCTCAACTTGAAAGCTTCAAATATCATAGAAAAAGAGAGAAAGAAGAATTTAGTAAAAAAAAAATACCAGCAAAGGAAAAACTGAGTCAGAATCCAGCTCAACTCAACTCGGGTTCTGAAGTTCAAAACTGTTAAATGAGAATAAAACGGATTGAACAAAAATGATTCGTTTTCGATCATAAAATTCCAACCGGAACCTGATTCGGAATCTTAAGCAAAGAAATACTGATTCCAACTAAAAAAAAAAAGCAGAGAGAAAAGACAAACTGTTACAGCGGAGACGGTTAAAGAGAAACGCAAGCGAAGGGACGGTAAAGGGAGAGTCCGCCAAAGAAATGTATTTATAGCCCTACTGAAAAGAAAGTTCAAAATTTTAAAAACGATTTTTACCGTTGATAGTAGTTAGTCAGAGAAAGTATGATAAATGGATGGTTATGATGGAGTTGTGGTGTCGGGTGTAGTCGATGATTGGATGGATTTCTATCGTTTGGTTTGGAGGGAATGGGAGGGAGGAGAGAAGAAACTCATGAAAGGAAAAAGAAACGGACGTCTGCACGATAAAATAATTATAAGAAGCTAGTCTTATTATAATCATAAGATCTTATCACAAGAAAATTATAAAACAAAGGATAAGTATTAGACCGATTAATTTTAAACAAAACATAAAGTAATATAATTTAAAATTTTAATAAAAATTATATAAAAATTTGATAAAATCTAAAAATTTGTATATAATTTTGTCATTTTATTTTTTAAATTAATTAAAAATTTAACTTAGTAATTATAATATTTTTATGAATACATTTGTTATACCTAAGTCAACTACATTAATAGTTAAAACTTGATCAACACAATTAAATTTATGAATAATATAAATAAAATACATTTAAACAATCGCATCATTTATTTTAAGAGGATTGCAGATCTAATACCCTATCAAATAACTTTATTAAATTTGTCATTCCATAAGTGATCTACTAATATCTAATTTATTTAAAATTATTAAATAAGATCTATATTTATCTGAAATTATTAATTATAATTCTCGAGCTTTATATAAATATTTTATCAATTGTTAATTGTTTCAATTAAACTATCATTCATGATTTTAAATAAAAAATAGATAAAAAATCAAATACAAAAAGGTAACATAAATTATACCTAAAAATTATTTCAAAAATCATATTGATTTGAACGTTGAAATAATAATTTTGATACTGTTAATTATATTTTTTTATTATAGGTCACTGTTATATTTTTTTATTTATTTATTTTTGTTAAAACATTTTAAAACACCATTAACAACATTAAAATTAATACAATTTTATTTCTATACTTATACATTTTTTTATTAGTCATTGAAATTAAAAAACAATTGTAGTCGAATTCAAACTTTTACTATATAAGTAACAAATACTTTCAATAATTGAGTGAACGGTCCAAGCTTTCATTTCATCGTCATACTTATCACATAACATGTAATGTACAGTGAAGTATTAATATTATAAGGCATGAAATCTGCGCATTAGAGATTTTTTTTTTTTTGCTTCGTTATTGAATAATTTGTTTTTTTTAATAATTGAACAATATGTTAAATCAAACAAAATGAAGACCTTTTTTTTTCCTCGAATCATTTAATAGGAGATATTTTAAATTGAAAACTTGAACACGTGTCTTGATATGCCTTTGTGGGTCCAACTTCAACAGCTGGAAAACCACGACAGATTCCTAAATAAAAGTGTTTGAAATAAAGTAATTTGTAAAATTAAAAAAAAAAAAATTCAAATTTCGGTTCTTTACTTCAGTCGTTGTTTGTTTCTCTTTCTGTCGCTTTCCTGTCTGTCACTTGCCTGAATAAAATATGACCTGGCAATTGAGTCAACCTGCTTACGTAAGTGCAACCGTAACCTGGCTCTTTAAAAATTAAATTAAGAATTGAATTCGGAGTGGCTGAGTTGTTGACGTAATTTTTATTTAAATTATTAAATTATTAAAATTTACAAAAATATGTTAAAATATTGTTTTACATCTTATTTTTTTTATAAATTTATAAATTTGTTAAATATATATTAATAAATTGTCATTTTTGCCCTTTATTGTCTGCCAATCCAAGGGCTTATTGGGTCACAAATTAAGATTAACTCAATTTTAGCCCAATTAAAAATCTATATATAAATTTTAGTAATAATTAAATATAAATTTAATAAAATTAAAAATATATATTTTATATTTTTATATTAATACGATACATAATTTAATTGTAAAATATAAAATAAATACATAAATTTTAATATTTTATAGATTGTGAATAAATCAATCGTTGAGTCTATTTAACACAACGCGCAATTTTGCTCTGCCAAATTGCCACCTCTTGACGAGGCTAATTTACTTGATGAAGAAGGTGATGCTTATGTGCAGACTCATGTTAATTTTATTGGTCTTTCAATTTAATAATGTTGATCTTACACCAAATGATATGGTCTTAGCAGTGATCAGTTTAAATGTTGTGTTCATTGTTTATGGTGGCCTGTTGATTTTTTTCTCGCAGATATGCATGTCTTTGGTTTCAAGCCCATGGCTGATTCTTAGTTTATCTGAGCTATCAGTTTTCCATTTTAGCATTTCAGTTCTCTTTGATATCATGTTACAAAACTCTGCTTGTAAAAGTTGTAACCATGTGATATAACAATATTAATCATGTTGCTTGGTTTTTACTTTCTTTGTTGCCAAATTGTACTTCACCCAGGTAGAAATTTACCCTTTATATTATCATCTTGTTGTTCTATTTATCTGTTGTTAATGTGCGCACAAAGGTTTTTTCTGTTACCTGATTGTTTAATATAATTGTGAAGGTATGTTGTAATGCTTGTAAGAAGCCAGTCAAGGCCAGTCAATATATGCTGCTCATGCAGGTTTGGAGGCATTTTACTTGTCTAACCAATCTTTCCCTATTTTTATCATTCTTGCCTAACTCAAACACAATCAGGCATTTAAAAATTTTTGGAAAATACATGAACAGTATTCGAGGAATTGAGGTTAGGACTAGTTTATTGTTAATGTCTATAATTTTTTGATAGGCATTTGTCCATGTTTAATGTAATTTATGTTTTTGGTCAATAATTATTCTTCTGAATGACCTTTATACGAGCTGTATGAACAAGGGATTTATAGTATTATTGTCTACATTTGGTGTTGTTTCTCTAGTTGGGACAAACCAGCTATGAATTTTTAAGTGGTGTGTTGGTGGTGCTTCACTGAAGTTGTTTCATTTTTCCCTTCTGATTTTTTCCAGAACTCTGTCGGTCATTAAAAACCAAAGAAGAAACTATTTTGGAGCTTGATGGTAGTGCAGGGCATAGGAAACCTCCAAGAAAGGAAAGGAAGAAGTCACTGGCTGCTTATGATAGTATCCTTTCTTTTCACCCTTTTTATGGAATGTGTTTCAGTATTTTGTTGGCTTTGTTGTTAAGTTTTAAACTCCTATTGCTCAATTTGTTACGTTTTGGTCTTCATTTTTAATGTCAGTATTTTTTTAGAAAAGAAGCATCAAAAGTACTGAAAGGAGTTTTAGATTTTTTTTGGTTTTGTTACATGAAACATATAGTTCCTTCTTGATTCATATTTTCATAGTTCGTAACCTCTCTTAGACCGACTTCTACCAGTTGGGAAGCAGGAACAATCAGAAATTATTAATGCTGGTGATACTACAGCATCAGAATCCCACATGGATGGCCAAATTGGAATGACTTCTTCCTTAACCATGGATGGAAAAAGTAAGTGGATAATGTTGTTGATTTCTCTCTAGCATTTAGCTAATGCAGAAGGTTTTGGTTCGTAATAAGAGTTTTGGATGTTCTATATGAGAACCGTAGGTGTGGCTTTGAATCAAGGTTCTGGAGTACAATGTACAGATAAATGCCTTACAGAAAAACTATCGTATTACCAAATCATCTCTTTTTGTTACTCATGCATCAATGTTTATTTTGCATGTTTGCAGCTATGGACTCTCCGAGAGGAACAGTTTCGAGAAGTGAAGCACCTAATGATAGTTAAGCCCATGAAGACTGTCCTTTGACAAAAGGTAAACCTTACAGCTTTTACTTGTCTGTAATAGCGTCTGAACGTTGTATTGGACCTTCCTTTTTTCATTAGTGATGTTGAGTTTTCTCTGTGTCCACAATTAAATCAGATCTTCCAGTTCCTCTTAGTACCAAAATGTATTACTCTCAAAGAAACAACCGTCTTCGCTTAGCGCTTAGTCATCAGTACTTTGTCACATCAACCAAAGAACTTCGGAGTGACATGGTTAGTCAACAAGCATCACAACAAAGCATGATGCTATTACAGGCTTCATCTCAGGGGGTCTGTCCTCTCAAACAGGTGGCTGATCTGCTCATGAAGAAGGTTTGCACCTTCTAACTATCCCACTTTAGGCTTTCCTCTTGCCTCTGTTGGTTTCAAATGAGTTGGAATCTGACTTGCTTAAGGACCCAAATGAATGAACGAGATATTATTTTAAATGTCAATTCTGTGTGCTTCATGCAATGGTGTTTCTTCTAAATCGTCAAATTTACATGTATAGAATTTCTTTTTCTTCTGATTAATCTTGATTTTCTCTATTAGAACATCATTTTAAGTTTAGTAGGGTAAAAATGACTCTTCTATGCTGCAGCCTGATCAAGTTCTTGCTCAAATTTCAGAAGTGTGCTTGAATAAATCTGAAGGGTGCCTGCCATGCAATGACTTTTCAAACCAGCATCCAATTGATAACTTCGTTGTATTATTGTTCAAATTTTAACTTCTTTCATTACGATTCATCTATTAGTTTGATTTTTTTCTTTTTTTTTTGCAAGCAAACTGCTGGGTCCCATGCAGCCTCAAAATGGAAGCGTTCCTGTTGTATAGAAAGTCCTGGGTTGGATTTTTGCTAGGTAAAGGTGTGTTTAGCCATACATGAGAGTTAGGATCCATTTTTGAAAACCTGGAAAAGCAAATCATTACAACTGTTCATTCTAGCCTTCTGAATGACACTTTGACACTTGGTCTCTGTTTATTTTTTATGGAAATAGAGTAAACATCTTTTAATTGCTCTTGCTAGCAGGTCCATTCGATCTCTGCCTCGTGCTTCGGTAGTATAATCATTTATTCTTCCTGGATCTGAACCCAGATTTCACGATCCGGGGCCGGGTCTGATTCTCAGACTTGGATAGAAATGTAAAAGAAAGGATCTGATTATCTCATATTTTTTGCAGTTAATACGTATAAACTCTGAAGAAGCCGATGAGGTAAGGAATATAGGGTTTGGCCAATGGCTATTAGCTTTCAAGATATGTTGATTGTATTGCAGCTATGACCAGGTGCTCCAGGTCAATGAGAAAATCATGCAGGGTTTTCCAGAGAAAGTTGAAGCTAGTGAAATGTGGTCATTAACAATGGTTCGACTTTGAAACTTCGTCGAATTGTTCCATGCTATGAATATGGTTGGTGCTCGTCCTCTTTCCGGTAAGTGATGTGATTTTTTTTGGTGAATAAAAGATTTGTGAATTAACAATTCACATGCATGATACTGTGCTTGATTGACAACAAGGGGGTTTCCAAGAACAGTTGCCTCTCTTAAAGGTGCCAAACTCATTGCTCTTGCAATTAAACCTCAACAACAATGATTAATTACAAATTTTAAGGTACTAACCTCATTGTTTTGTCTGATATTGGATGAAGCATGCACTGATATTGAATCATCTTTTTTTTTTTTTTAATTCATAGATATATTTTTCTTTATAAAGAGATTAAAACATCTGTACTTGCAAACTTTTAATTTCACTTTGAAAAACGTTTTGAACATTTGCTTCAATAATTAGTGTATGTTTTTTTCATATACTCTAATATTGGAGAAAATAAAATGAACAACCGATCATTATCTCAAAAGTTGTTTTTTTTTTTTTATTAAAAAAGATTCCAGTTGAAGATAAAAAATTATAAATTATAAATATTGAAATTTAATATTTAAAATTAATAAATATTATTTTTTAAAGATAATTATATGAATAAATAGAGTAATTTTCGGGTTCACCATTCAAGTTCTTTGCTTTCTTTGTTGAGTTGCCCAGGAAAATTACTAAGAAACTTTTGAACCAAACCTTATGCCATGGAATCGAAGAATGAAAGACTTGCTTATTTATCGTGAGGAGAAAAAGAAAAAGAAAGAAGATTTCTGCTATGTTGCTTTTCAAAGTAAAATCCACTATTATATAAAATATTAATAATTTTTATATTTATATTAAATTTTATATAAAAATTATATATTATGATTCATATCACATAAAAATATTTTAATTTTATTAAAATTTTAAATTATATTATTTTTATATTTTTTCTTTATATCATATTATTATATTATTTTTAAAATTATCAAATTCGGATATAGAAATAGACTGTTCCTATAAAAAGAAAATGCCACCATTTTTTTCCCTTCGAATCAGCACCCAAATTGTGACCTTAAAAAGTCCTTACGCATTTCCCCACGTTTATGAATATCACAGTAAACATATCAATGATTCCATGTCCGTACAAAGGCTGCTTCACCATCATTTCACCTGGATTTTTCTTTACATTATTGGTTTATCCCCTGTCTTGCCTTATCCTGCCGGGCTTTGATTTGACAAAGAGAAGATAGAACAACCAACAGTGCCACTTTTCAGGGGCCCATCAAATTCCGTCTGTCCCCTTTCCTTTCTTGGAATATACATATAAAAAAAATATGTAGATTTAACATATATTATTAAAATTGTTGGGAGTTTAATTGAATTGGACGACCGTTAAAAAGATAAAATTTAATTAGGATTTGTATTTATAAGTTTTTTTGAGATTATATTTGATATATTATTAATATATAAATTTTATATATTATTAATAAATCAGATAATAAAAATTTATTAATGAGTAAATATTAAATTTTAAAATAAATATACATAAATTAAAATTTTTAAAAAATTTATTTATTAATAAAATCTTATTATTTAATTTATTTTATTAACAAATTATCATCATTTAATTTATTGATAATATATTATTTTATACATTAATCGTGTCTCAAATGTAAACTTCTTTTTTTTAAGATTATGATTTTTTTAATAAAAATGAAAATTATTAATTGGGCAATGAGCTTTTGTTTTATGTTTTTTTCTTGTTTTTATCAATTTGACAACACCAAGCTTTAAAAACAAGAAAGAAACGTACAAAAAAGAATCATTAAAATAGTTTTTTTTCCTTACATTTATCATTGGATTTTTAATAAATTACTTTATTGATAATTTCTAACATTTATTGTAAAGTCAAAAAATTTTATAATGAAAATACCTTTTAATCCGATGAAATCGATGATATCACAATGAACTGTCTTCCAAATTTATAATATGCATTCAAAAAAATTATTACAACAATACTTAGGTGATATCATATGTTAATTTAAATCTTATTATAATCAAACATTTGATTTAATGATTAATTTTTATTTTTGAGTCCTTTATTTTTATAATAAAAAAGTCCTGTTTAATTTTTTTTGAATTAATCCCATTTACACATTGTATGGGTTATGCATAAATATGAATAAACAATAAAATTATTAATTAAAAAATGAAAAAAAAAACTAATCTTTTCTACTAAAAAATTGCAAGTGTGAAACATTGTGAACATTGAGTTTATAAAAATAAAGATAAAATTCTTTTTCTTACAACAATTCCAGAAATCTGGGAGACAATGCTAGGAAATGATGAGTTGTATTTGTACTTTATGTAGGATTGAATAAAAATAAAAGTATATATATATATATAATTTTAATCACTTGTGTTAATTCTTATAGGCCACATCAGTTTCATTTTCATGTACTTTTAATATGGCAAGAACCAATACAAATGGCTTTAAAAAATCTAAAAAATTTTTTTTTAAAGCATTTTTAGCATAAAAAATATATATTTTAGATAAGTCATGTGAGAACAGATATTTTATGAAAAAAAATGGTAATTTTGAAAGAAAAGACCAATTGCTCTTTTTCAAACCAATACAACTAACTTCCAAAAGAGAATAAATTATAATAAATAATTGTCAATTTCTATTGCTTTGCTTTTAATTTTTTTTATGACGTTTAATCCTTTGCTCAAAAGCTAAATTAGGTAGGTAATAAATTTCCTACCCAAATACATTTACTCTCCAAAAATCTATTTTCCACCCTTGTCTTTTTCATTATTTATTACTTATTATTTAAATACTATATTTTAAAAGAAATAATATGTTATAAATAAGTAAATTTTTAATGGGCAGTTTTATTTTTCAAATAAAGACATAAATATTTTTAATTTTATTTTACTATTATAATTTTAATTTGATTTTTATGTAATTTTTTAATTAAATTAATGTCTGATTAACTTGTGATACAAACAATAAATACACAAATTTAACGAAAATTTATTTATTATTTTTGATGGAAAATTTAAATTGATCTAATTGATTCTTTGATCAAAAATTGAGATAAAGTACAAATTTATTATTTCATTTAGGATGATTAATCAAATTATTACTCATTTTTAAATAGATGCAAAGTTGTCAATATACTTTTTTAATTTGATTTAAAAATTAATAAAAAGTTAAAATAAAAGAATATTTATTGAGAAAATAAAAGAATATTTCATAAAGTATTTTAATATTTAATAATTTTAAAACCAAATCAACAAATTTATCTATAAAATTTTACTATTTAAAAAATAAATGGTAAATTTAATTCATAACTTTAAATAAAACAATAAATTTAAACTTTATTAAAAACAGTACCAAAGTTTAGAAATGGAAATAAAAAGAGAGCTTTTGGATATTTTCCCAAAAGACCCACACAACTTTCTCTCTTCCAAACTCCAATTTTCAATACAAATCCCAAACCAATTCTCAAAAAATTCCTCCAAAAAACAACAAAAACCCAACAATCTTCCCATTTTCTTACAACCCTTTTCTCAACTTTTCATGCAAAACATAACAGCTAAGAACTGTCACAAACAATCTTGAGTTTTGTTATGCTTTTTAACGTTATTCATGAAAATAAAGTGCATTGCCAGGCTAAGGTTACGCCCGTTGGTTCAAGACCAACTGGAATGTTCAGACCAAGTGGCAGTTGCTGGCGGTTGTTGCTGGGCCAACCTGCCTCAGGAATTGTTGAGGGAAGTTCTGTTGAGGATTGAAGATTCTGAAAGTCGTTGGCCTCAAAGAAGGAACGTGGTAGCTTGTGCTGGTGTTTGCAGGAGTTGGCGTCTTATCATTAAACAGATGGTTAAAGTTACTGAGCTTTCAGGAAAATTAACTTTTCCCATCTCACTTAAACAGGTTTTCTTTTTTCTTTTTGGTCTCCCTGTGTTCTTGTCTGAAAATCTTGCTTTTGTGAACAAATATTGTTCTTTAATTTGTTTTCTTTTTTAGAGCTATGATTGTTGCTTGAAGTTGAATTACTGTAGTTGAATTGCAATCCTCTGTATGGAAACAGGGTCATGTGATTTGGTTGAATTTTCATTCAGGGCTTGCAAAGGTGTTCTACTGGTCTGCTTTTGTCTAAAGAAAGTTTTTTCTTAAGTATTTCAAAGTAATGATAAATCTGATTGTACTTATGTCTTCTGCATTCTGTGGATTTTATGTTCCTGGGAATCTTGTATTAAGATTTGTTTCCCCATTTTTATGTCTGGTGATCTGATTTGTTGTCTGATTTTCTTGTTTGGATTGGTGAGATACAAGTCTCAACAAGTGTACCTTCGAATCCCACAAATTAGGCAAAGTTTCTTGAGAATCTTATCCGTTTGTTTTTAGAGATGTAATGGTAAAGTTGGGGGAAATTTGCTTTTTCAAAGACGGTTCTGGCATGGGAGATGGCTTTTGAACCATTTTTGTCCGCTTGATATTGACCATTAGACAGGGCACGTATACCATCAACAAGTGCTTGGGACCATCATGGCTCCCTAACCAATGTATCCCTTTGGATTTGGACCACTTCTAGCTTCAACCAGTGCGGGCTAACAGTAATCATTAGTTTCCACCTTTGTGTAGAGTGCTGTTCTTTCTCATTTTTCCCCCATCCAACTTCTGCCACCCCAAGGCCCAAACAAAGCCTCTTTCTTCCACTGTTAATTTGCTTTCCATGATGTATTTACCGTATACATTGGATTAAAGCCTTAGAGTGTGCAACGATCAATCACTGACTAGTGCATGAATGGAAGCTTTTTCATGGTCAGCATTCTGTCTTCTGTCTAATTTTTCCACATGCAAACTTGTGTTGGATTGTTTGCAGCCAGGTCCAAAGGACTGTCTCCTCCAGTGCTTTATAAAGCGGAAGCGATCTACCCAAACATATTATCTTTACCTTGGTTTAACTAATGGTGAGCTTTTCTCTTCGTTTATATTGTTTTTGTGGTTCTTCTGCCTGTTCAATCAAAGCTGTCAATTATGCCTTTTGCATTATAACTGGATAGTCATTCCATTCAATCACCAGATTAGATTAGGGACAATGTATATCTTCACATATTTCCTTCTTGAGCTGTAACACTTTGGAAATTTTGTTCTCTGTTGCAGCACTAACCGATAATGGAAAGTTCCTTCTTGCTGCTCGCAAGTGCAAGCGTCCTACTTGCACAGATTACATCATCTCTCTATGGGCTGGGGATATGTCAAAGGGGAGCAGTACTTATGTTGGGAAATTGAGGTCAGCAGTGAGCTATAACGAACAAAATTATATGGAATTGATTCTTTTTTCGCCGTATCTTGAAGTCTTAAATCTTGTGTTTTTCGTTCCTTTTGGCAAAGATCAAATTTTTTAGGGACCAAGTTCACTGCCTTTGATGGACAGCTTCCTCGTGCTGATGCGATGACTAAAAGTAACTCCTCTAGGCTAGCATATTTGAAACAAGTTTCACCTAGAGTCCCTTTCGGCAACTACCCCATGGTTCACATTTCATATGAATTGAATATGTTAGGTTCAAGGTAAGAGTTTGACATTATTTAGTTTAAGGATTTGATAATTTCTTATTCTATCTGTCAAGTGGGGATCATAGAATGCCAATTCTCCAAGGCAATGGTGATTTATCATTATTGACTAGCTCATGCATTAAATCCTCTATGTACTTTCTCATAAAAGTAGCTGATACGGATGTATTTTATGACTTCCAGGGGTCCAAGGAAAATGCAGTGTATTATGGATACCATCCCTGCCAGTTCCATAGGACCAGGAGGAACAGCACCCACCCAAGCTGAGTTTTCTTTCAGCAATGCTAATCTATTTCAATCGATCCCAATCTTTCATTCAAAATCAGCTAGCATGGAGAATTTCCTATCAGGACCTTTGTCTGCTCAAAAGGATGGTGCACTGGTGTTGAGAAATAAGGCTCCAAGGTGGCATGAGCAACTCCAGTGTTGGTGCTTGAATTTCCATGGACGAGTGACAGTTGCTTCAGTGAAGAACTTTCAATTGGTAGCTTCTCCAGAAAATGGACCAGCTGGGCCAGAACATGAGAAGATAATCCTCCAGTTTGGAAAAGTGGGGAAGGATTTATTTACCATGGATTACCGGTATCCAATCTCTGCATTCCAAGCATTTGCTATCTGCCTCAGCAGCTTTGACACTAAGATTGCTTGTGAATAAATGATGCATGGTTGTGAACGGGTTTGTTACATTGTCAGCATAGCTTTCAACCTCATTACCTACTGTTTTATTACATTTTAATTCCTGAAACAAGGAAAGTGAATCAACCGGCTTAAATATCTGCAATCATTTGAAGAGGTTGATGGTTGGATATCATTTTGACCTGCAATGTTAGTAGTAACCATGACAAATGATGCTTATCCAACCCATGAATTCGAGCTCTGATGTGTTATGCTACCTACTAAGTAATAATACATGCAAACCACCATGCACGCCATGGTTATTGAAATCTATGAATAGTACCAACATATGCATGTTTTCCCAATTTAAACCAGGACCAGGAATCTATGAAGATTGGTGTAACAAGATTAAAAGTGAAGGAGATACAAGTGCTGGAGATTGAAGAGGATCGAAAGCTCCTAAATGTCTCAAGGTTTTAACATATCAGCTCGGATTCTGGATTTGCTCAAATTATGAGAAAGATTGGGAGTTTATGCGGAGGTGGTACAGTGGAACTTAGTTGATGACCAAGTTCCATTTATTTTCTCCGGTTATGTACATTCCTTTGCATTGTTTCTAGTTTGCCCATGTAAAATTGTTTATTTAATTTCTATTTGTCTTGGAAAAGCTTCCGGGTTCTCGGTACTTTTCATTATGCAGTACAGCCCACTCCACAGTCACTGTCGTATCCTTTTCAGCTCTTTGTAAAAACTTAAAAACAAATAAAACAAGAACACAAACAAAATCAAACCAAGAGGTAGTTTTGATCCTGGTAACCTAAAAGGCTGAAGCTGGAGTCAGGGATTCAACTTTTCATTTTATCAAGGCTTGATGAAGTGTTAAGTTCACTAGGGTCAATAGTTTCTGCTAGAGCCTGATATGGTTAGATGTTCAGCACAATGTTAGCTCTCCAGCAAATAGTTGGGGAAAGCCGAAAAGGAGGAAAGCAAACTCTTGTAAACTGATTTGGTTGGCATTAGTACGAAACAAAGGCTGTTGCGCCATTTGATCCTCCTGCTAAAAGAATATGTTGAATCTCCCCTTCAAATAAAACAAAAAATTCATGACAGCAGCTAAAGTCTGATTTATCGCAATAAACAACCGAGAAAAGAAACTTACCACTTCAATCACATGTTTGCTGAGAAGAAAGGTTTAAGAGACAATTGCGAACAAATTCTGAGCTCCCCTTTCAGAACAGAAAAATATTTGCATAGCTATGTATGAAATACGAAGCCAAATAGTGGGTCTTTTCCTCATCCAACATTTTGGTACTTACAAGAATACTATGTACACATAAATGTCCTCTTAATCACTAAGCTGCTTCCATGTGGATGTTCAGATCTGAACTTGTATGTACAGGTTCAGTGGTTTCTTCCTCTTTAGAGGGCATATCATCTGAATGCAATTCAGGTTGTCCCAGGCTCCTCACAAACTCGGTGAATGAAGAAAAATGCTCCGGAGAGAAGAAATGAGCTCCCATCCTTTGAAAAGTGAACAAGTCTATCATATTCTCGCCCAAAATTTTTTTCTTGATCTGCTCAAAAGTCAAGACCACCAGGAGCTCCAGAAGCCAAGTTCTGCCCAGAAACCTCAACCCCGTGCTTTCTGCAAGCTGTTATGATTTGTGCAATTAATAATTCTGGGTTTGAGAGAGATTCATGTGGCTGGTGCTCATCTGACAGGTCCATCCCGGGCAAGATGATTTTGCATGAATTCCTTGAAAACATCTCAGCAACTGCTTCATAACCATCTCTTGAGTCAGTGTTATAGAAGCCAGCTGTCAGTTCAGAAGGCTGTGCTCGGGTTTTGTACCACGAGTACATCAGCGGGATTCCCCGATCTGCATTACCCACTTGGGAAGTGGGATTTTAGGTTGTCTCGATGCATGGAAGAAGAATGATATATGAAGCTTAAGACCTGCTTTCTGAACCATCTCTGCAACAGTAAGACAGCCTGACCAATCATACTTTCCCATTGCTACAATTCTCAACCACTCCCCACGAGACAGGCAATTCAACACCTTCCACACCCAACAGTTTCAAAGCCTTGAGTCCTGTCCATATTGCCCGGTCATGGTTTACTGTATTGCACTCAGAAACTGCATCTAGAGGCAGGGCAACAAATAATCTTACCCTATCAAGCTGAAAAAACCAAAATTTGCTATGATCACCATAACCAAATACAGTTGTTTATCAATTAAATTGTTCTAGTAGGGGGAAAATATTTGGATGTTTTTAGGCAGAATTTGCACCAAAACAAATTATATTAAACAAAAATCCTATAACCCTTTTTAAATATATTATGATATTAAACAAAAATTTTAATATTTTTACATTTTGCCCCTACTAAATTCAAAAAGGAAGTATATAAAAGGGAAAGATTTAAAAATATTATAAAGTATAGGTATATTTTAGTAAAAAAAAAGACTCATTCAAAAGAAAATAAAGATATGTAAATATTAATAAATTTTGGCTTATAAATAATTATATCATGTAAGTCTCATTTTAGTTAACTTAATTTACAATTTAGTATTGCTTTTGTCTCTTTTGCCTCCATCTATCTATTCTCCTCTCTTTTCATTTGCAAACTTCATTTTTTTTACTTACATGAAATATCATTATATTATTGTAAAAGTGTCTAAGTCAAGCATAAAATGATAAAATATTTATAAAAAAAGCATAAATTATAGTTAAACTAATCTTGTATACTAAAATATAAATAATAAGTAAAATGAAATTACGACAAAACACTCATGATATAAAAATTTATTTTTAATATATCCAAGTATTTTCTTCTCTTGTTAATTTTCTTTTATATTGATAATGTGATAATGTGTTTTTCTTAATATTATTTAGAATTTTTAATAATATGTATTTGATGTAAAATAATGTTGTAGAGATGTAATCTAACAAAATCTAAAATTTAGAAAAAAAAAAAAACTAGTATCAATTTTAAAAATATTCAAAAAGTTAAAAAATGTATAAAAGTAGCATGTTGTTGGTCCTATTTTTTATTTTCATATCTTATGACTTAAAAATTATAAAGAAATTAAATTTGTATTTGATTTAAGTTAGTCAAAAATAAATATCATTAATAAGAGAAAATAAATTTTAAAGGAAATATTTGATATTGAATAAAGTTATATATATATTTTAATATTGGCAATGAAAAAGAAAATTTTACATTTTCTACCTATGAAAACTATTTAACTCAATTATATAGTATTATTTTCATTTGAAAAATGATAATATTATATATTTGTGTTTATTTGATATTTAAATTTTTGATGTATTTAATATTATAAGTTTCGAGACAAGATTTTATTTTTATCATTGTTTTTCCTAAAACAAAACCTTATATCTTTGTATGCTGATTCTGTTTTACAAATCTTTGTCTGAGAAGAACTCCTAATTACAGAAACCTCCATTTCACCCAAAATTATAGTTTTTTTTTTTTAATAAAAAAATCCCAACAAAAAAGTTAAAATCACACCAACAAAATAGAACCAAAAATTCCAAATCAAGGGCTTTTTTAACCAGATTAGAAATTACACCAAAAGAACTTCAAACAAAAAACCCAAAAAAGTTCTTTGTTATCGTATCTAAAGCTGTAAAAATATTTTTAAAATGGAATAGATTGAAGAATAATAAAAAGGGATTTTATAATTTTGGTCTGAATTGAAAATAGGGAATTTTTTGTTTATTTTTATTTTATTTTTGGGTGAAGTCAAAAATTTGCGGAGCATCAATGGCTGGGGACGCTTTGTGCGTAAAACAACAAAAATTGTGTGCATCCGCCACGTGTAAGTCATGCATTTTGCCAAAATTTTCAGCAGATAATGAGTATTTTTTTTCTTTTTTTATAATGATAATATTTATTTTTATCATTATTAATGGATCAGATTAATGCATGTTTATAGACATTAATTAAAAATATTAAATTATTATTTTAAAATATTATATTTAATATATTTTTATTAAAATATTATTTTAATAGGTATCATTGGACATTAGTTGTCATCTTTCTTTAAAATATCGCCATGTGTCATAGATTTGACAGTGGAAAATCTTGACTTGATTAAGGATTAAAAAAGATTAATATACATTTTTTGTGTTTTGAATGTAGTAATAATTTATAGTATTTTTGGGTCTTGAAAAAAATAAAAAATAATGATGTGGATAGAATCTTATCAATAATTTCTAGATTTACTTGAAATGGATAAGTCTGATCTGATTTTGTCAGGTGAACATTGGCTTTGTAGCCAATTGTGGATTGGATAATACAAGAATATTTTAATGCTGGATACATTGTATTTAGTTATGCATATCAAGATGTTACTGGATGCTGTTTTAGTAATTAGTAAAATTTATTTTATTAATAAACTCTGCGATTCGAATTTTATAAATGAAAAAAATAAATATTAAAAAATTTTATTTTTTTATAAAATTTAATTTAATTTGATTATAAATTAATTAAAATTTAAAATGATTATCAAATATTAAAATATTTTAAACAAAAAAATTATTTTAAATAATTAATATTTAATTATTAATTAATCAAATTGCTATTTAAACTTTTAAAGAATATTGTAATTAAAGAAGGTAAAAAAATAGAAATTGACGGGTTTTGATCTGACCCGATGGTCAGGTCTCTTAGGGTCGATTTTTTTTTTTGAAAATCGAGTATCGGGTCGGATAAGGTTTTAAGTAAATTCGACTCGATATATATATAAAATATTTTTTTTAATTAATTAATTAATTATATATTATATATATTTAATTTCATATTTATATTAAAAATAATATTTTATTAATTTCAAGTCCGATTAGATCGTGTATGATTTTATACAATATCAGGTCGATCGAGTTTAGATATAAAAATAATAAAAAATTTATTGGGTCGGGTCGAGGTGAGCAAAAACCCATCTCGACCTGACCCGTTGTCATCACTAATTGTAATCTAAAAAAAAATTATTTGAAGTTAAATTTACTTAACATTATTTTTAAAAAATAATTAAATAAATCAATAGAACTAAATTTTAATTTTATATCAATTTAATATTTAAAAATCAAATAGGTTCTTTCTGTATTAGGAATTAGGATTTTGATAGCAAAGCATTTTATTTATCAAACATTGAACAAAAAATTTATTAGAAAAGCATGAAATTATAGTAAGATTTAGGATAGCAATAATGTCTTAAGTGGAAAGAAGTAAACAAAGTTGGGAACAAACAAATCAATACTACACACTTGCCACTATCATTTGTTTCCCCTTTCCATGCAATTTTAACATTTATGAACCACAATCACAAAAAAAGTGTCAATCGGATGAGAAAATAAAATTTTCCAAACGGTTTAATGAGAGGGGAAGCTTTTCAATTCTAAGGTTTGACCAGAATGTAAACTTCAAAAAAAAAAAAAAACATTGAATTTATAGATCGATCACTAAAAAAAAAATATTGATAATGAGACTCAAATTTAAGTTTTACTAATGAAATATTTGAATATTATCAATTGAATTAATTTTTATTGACAGATCAAAAAATAATTTAAATGTAAATGGCACTCAATAAATCAATACAATTAATAATTCTTGTGAAAAAAAAAAAACCCTAATATTCTTTGTGTTAAAAAAATGGAGAAAACTAGTTGATAAAAAATTCACATTGAAT